AAAAAAACTTTCTCACTAAAGTTGAACATACAGCACTCTGTAGTTATTCAGATCAAAATAATCATTTAAACATTTTATTGTTTCATTTTATTTTCGCTCAAAAACAGACGATACTTTATGTAAACAAGGTCTGTGGCCCCAAATTGCAAAATGAAAGGTCAATGTTGTGTTAATGTGTTAATCTTAAGTAAAACTCAGGTGTAACACTGAAATGAAGTCGGGTCATTTCTGAGGAGAACAGGTGTATGGGAATCGGGAGGACATTATGAGGGTTAAGTCACCACGTCCAGCCGATCATCTATGAGTTTATTCAGCCATGAAATTTCAAATACATTTGAAATATTCAGGCCGCTGCTTTAACTTACACACATGCATTGTGCTGCTTTCACTAAACAATAAATCTAATTTGTACTGAACTATTTTATATTATTAATTTCTAACCTTTTCCTCTAGTTGTTAGCAACGTTTACCAATTTTTCATTTTGATCTGAACATCATCAAACTCCAGTTTTACATATTTTCAGACAGTAATTGGAAACACTATCAATACTTTTAGTTCATAATTTAATGCTTCTTAATATCTTTCTAGTGATTTCTAGTTCTCTGTAATTCTATTAGAATTCATACTGTTAGCTAACACGTTTGTTAATGTTAGCAAACGATTTCTGACATTTGCCTTGTAAATCAGCTAGCTGTTCACGTTTTTAGCATCTAACTACTTAATTTGTTTATCCAAACTTTATGTTTAGTGATCACGTTCACGTGGAAACCAAGTTAAGTTTAGTTTTAGCTTTTGTGTTGCAGTTAGCTATTTTAGCGTTTATGTTTAGCTAACAGTTTGATTTGTTTATTAACTGTTAGCCACACTTTAGTGAGCTATTTCAAACATTTTCTGAGTAATACTTAGAAATTTATATAACTGATGTATTATTCGTGTTTTTCTATGTATCTATTGTTTATCTTGTTGAGTTTCTTCTCCTTAAATTGTTATTTAGGCAGCTGCTTTTGTCAGTTAGTGCTATATGAACTGAATTTAACGAACAGCCCAATAATAAAGACTCATCAATAGTTCAGATTTAATGCAGCAGGATTCGATCTGTGTCATAAATTAGTGTTCAACGATGCAGAGACACTGCAGGAAAATAAAAGTCTCTGATTATATTTCATGTGTGTAGACATTTATTCACCCTGGTAACCTGAATATCTGGTGTATTTATTGTTGCCCTGAACCTGTCTGCTGAGTTTTGGACTCGTGTGTTTGTGATTATTCTGTAGTCAGTCGCTATAACAGTCCTTTCATCGTTTGAGGAAGTTGTTTGTCCCGGGTCATTCATTAACTTCACTTCCCCTGAACTCATTTACCTGAACAACAACAAGCTGGCTTCACGTGACGACGGCGCAGACGCCGTCATGGAGCTAAAATCGACTTTTACCGTCACATCTGATCTGCATGTTTAAAGTTAGCATTAGAGGAAGTTAAAGAGCAGAAGCATCGTAAAAGGCTAACTAATAACCAGAACAGGCCTCGCTGACAGCCGTGTCTCCTTTGTGCTGGTTTTATCCACGGCTTTTACATTCTGAACCTTTCAGGCTGATGTTGATC